ATATGAGTAGTTGGTGGTCTGTTCCACAATCAGCTCCTGGCCTAGTTTTCACAGCTGATATTGAGCTTCTCCAGCGGTTCTTTCCACAGATGTAATCGATCTGATTCCTATGCATACCATCTGGTGAAATCCATGTATATAACCTGCGTTTATGTCTCTTAAAAAAACGTATTTACTATGAATGAGTCATTGTGCAAAATTCAGTCATTCTCTCTCCAGCTCCATTTCTGTCACTGAGTCCATGTTTTCCAACTACTGAATCTTCTCTGTTCCCAACTTTTGCATTCCAGTCACCCATTATTATCAATGCATCTTGATTGCATGCTCCGATTGTAAGAGTTGGTAAAAATCTTCTATATCCTCTTCCTTGGCTCTGGTTGTTGGTGCATATATCTGAATGATAGTGGTATTCACTGGACTTCCTTGTATGTGTATGAATACTATCCTGTCACTCACAATATTGTACTTCAAGATCGATCTAGCAATGACTTTTTTAACTATGAAAGCAACTCCATTTTTTCTTACCTTTTTACCTCCAGAATAGCTAGCAATTATATCTGTTAGTCTAGAACTGATTCTGCAATCAAGGTGTTTTCAGCTAAAGCATCTACTTTTTTATAACTAACAGTATTCAGTGAAAATCTGTTGCAGTTGTCAGGATGGAGTACAATGGTGTTTCAATGAGCCAGCAATGTAAAGCAAAGCTATTCTTACTTAAGTGGTATATTGCCTTGAAAGCTCAAAGATTTTTCACTAAAAGAGAAGGTAGCACTTGTGTGTGCCAGGGAGCATCTTTTAATAAATGTTCATGTCTTCACCTCTTTTATGCTTTTATTTTATCATGTATTAGTGTTTTTCTTTCTTTTCATCTGGAAAAGAAAATAATTTTATCTTGAGAGATGAGAAGCATGCATTTGGAATACAGGTACATTTGAAGTAATTGGTGTATTACTCGAAGGGTTTTTTCCCCCTCATTGTTCATTAATACAAAGGATAATTTAAATATTTTGTTCTGCATAAATATGTACCACTTTCTGAAATAATTTTATGAGGGAGCTCTGGTGGCCTAGTGGCAAGAAACTGTACTGCAACCCCAAAGGTGCCCAGTTTGAATCCACCAGTTGCTCTGCTGGAGAAAGAAGGGCTGTCTCCTCCTGTGCCAGTCGGATCAGATTCAACAGCACAGAAGTTAAAAAAAACTTTAAGAAAATAAAAAAAGTTTATGTTCAGCTCCCAGCAGTTTGGCAAATTTTAACACACCTTGTGGATCAACCGTGCCCTTTGATTTATTATTATGCCTTACTCTTTCCTATCACAAGATTATTCTATTCTGTGTTTTCTTTACCAAAGAGAAGGTAGAAGAAATAGGAGGAAGAATACTCAGAGGACAATATTTTTTCATGGATCATAACTTTTCAGTGATATTCCTAGGTTTGCAAGAATAAAATAGATGTTTTCAGTTAATTCTGACTTTACATGGAGACTGTTGTTGTTGTTGTTGTTGTTCCATTGAGTCAGAACCAATCTATAGCTGACCCTCTGGCAGGTTTTCAGGGGCAGTTTTAATCACACTGGACAACATTGCCCATCTATCTCCTATCAGCAATTGGTGGATTTGCACTTTAAGACTTTAGGATTGAAGTGAGGATTCTTACCACTAGGCCACCAGAGCTCCCTTTAAATGTTTACAGGTCTGTTGAAATACCCTTTACATAGTCTCCGTGCCTGCATTCTGCTTTTTTTTTTAATCAACCCATAATTTTTGAAAGTAATTTAGAGTATTTCTCATATTGTAATTGAATTTTTTTCCATATTCTAGGAGACATTTATCTGTTTTGCAAAGGAGCAGATTCTTCAATATTTCCCAGAGTAATAGAAGGCAAAGTTGACCAAATTCGATCCAGAGTGGAGCGCAATGCAGTGGTAAGATGAGGGGATGTTGAGCTTATTGAAGTTTAACTTGTTCTCCTGTGTAGTGAAGGAACTTTCACATTGTAAAAATTGCACTAGCTAAGAATATTACATTGCATTCCTTAAGAGATACATTTGGATTCAGAATGTATCATATATAAAAAAATTATTTATTGATTTTTCTTAATATATACTATTACTCCTACATCTGGCAAATTCAGCACTTACTATTCATATTTCATAGTTTCATTGAAGCAGGTAATTATCTTACATGATAGATTTTGGAAGGGTGGAGATTTAGACACATTTGCGGTTATTGTTTTCAAGCAAAAAGATCTTTAATGAATTCCTAGTGATTAGTATAAAAACAGATTAGCATTTTGCATCTGTCGGAATTCACTTTTACTTTCATATTTTATTTTCAAGCATTCCATTGAGTCTGTAACTTTAGTAATATGATTAAATCTGTCACCAAATGGGAGCTTTCAATTCCCTTAGCTCTTGCTTCCTTCCTTTTTGTAGATGGTGGAGCCACACAGTTCTCTAATACAAGGTCTACACTCCCTCTCTTCCAAATGAGACTCCCAAAAGGCCATGTGATTGTGTACATCTTACCAGAAAAATCCTTTCTCTTGTTTTCATAGCTTCTTTCTCCCATGGTTTTTGAGTTCTAGCCTTCAGTGTACACTTTTCTTATAATAACCAAGGATATCTTCTTCAGGGGTCCTCACCTTCATTCTATCGTAGGGTAGCTCACCACACATTGCTTTCATCATATTTTCAGGACAAGGACAAACTACCTACTATGTTCTCCTTGGGTTTAAAGTAATCCTGGTTTAAATGTTATACAGCACAAAATTGAACAGTTTTAAAGAATTACTGTAAACCAAATATAGTTGAGCCAAGTTAATCTTGGTATAAAAGTTATGAATATTGAAAAGTAATTTTATGTATATAGCTTTTATTATTGCTGAATATTTAAATATTGTTGAATTAAGAATTTCTCTTGACTGGCAAAGGCCCCCTTTTATCATAATACTTATAGCATCTGTTACGGTCTTAAATTTTATTAATTTTTTTTAAACGTAGGTTATTATTGTGTGATAATGGGACCAATTGGAGCTTCAGGGAAAGTTTTCTTTGTGAGGGAAGTTACTATTAAAACAGCAAGTAACTCCTTGTGGTCCAATAAAGTGGCTGCTATTGACCTAATAGCTAAATGAATATGCTGTGTCATTGTTGGTTCCATTAAGTTAGAACTGACTGGTAGCTGACCCTCCAGCAGGTTTTCAGAGGCAGTAAACTGCACAAGAGAAATTTCTTTTCCTTCTCCTGTACAGCTTTGAACAGTGTGCCTTTGGGATCACAGCACAGCTTATTACCACTAGGTTATATATTGTAACAATAAGTCATTAATTTCCCCTCTCCACAGAAGTGAGCAAGCTGTTAGTACAGGAGTTTAAAGACTTCTTATAAGTACCATAATGTGTGGGTGTGTGTACAAAAATGTGTGAGTCCATTTATACACAGTGAATCAGTGAATATACACAATGAAAGGCTAAGACATCATTTAGGAGAGTGTGATTATATTTCTCAAGAAGGACATCTTTGATTCTTTTTTTTTCCCCCCTTGATTCTGAGTTAACGGTCTGAGCTTGTTTTCCACTGGATGGCAAGACTGGATAGCCTTGGCACATTTATAACATATGGGCCAAATATGGTAGGAGCTTGCCGGAAGTAGCCATGCCACAATAGTAAAGAGGTAGTACTGACCAGAACTTGATGCATTCCGTTGCTCTGTTCGTTATTCTTTTTACCACTCCCATTCTTAGAGAAAAGTCATTTCTGAACTAAAGGAAGTTAGTGAGACTAAACTGCAACCTTTTATAGTCTGTCTAAACAGCTTCCAGATTCTCACATTCAGTATTTCTTAATATTTTATACAATATTGTTAGTCCCCTAAAATAGAAGCTTTTGCAAAAACAGGTACAGGCAGCATAAATTCTAAGCATGACAATTCATTATATATTATGTTCATTATATATTATCTATTTCCACATAACTAATACCAAACTTTTCTTTCATCTTTTTAGAAATAATTTTTACTTTCTAACATGGAAAATTCCTTTTGACATCTGCCTAATAATAGCATTTTAAGGGAAGAAAGGCTCTTTCTTGCCATAAAAATCTTTTCTCAATCTTAGAAATCTGATATTGCTGCTCATTAAGGAAGAGAAAAATCATATTCTTGTCACTGTTACTTCATTAATTAATACCAGGCTTATTTCTTCTCCCAACTCTAGAACCCAAAAATAGTATGACATTTAATAAAACATTATTGTTTCTTCTGAAAGGAATGTATTATGTTGCTTTTAACTATTTCCATAAACCTACTAGTGCAAGAAGCTGCTCTTAATTCTAAAAATTCAAGTGAATGCACTGAGGATTTGGTACCCTTTAATTATTAGAAACATTCTCAAAGGGTATATCCTTTCATAGGTCCGAGTATCTTGATAATTTTTGTTTAAAATAACACCATTGTTATTGTGTTGTGTTGTGTCAACTTAATTCTAACTCATAGTGACTTATCAGACAAAATAGAACTACTCCATGTGGTTTCCAAGACTATATAACCTTTATGAGAATAGATAATCAGACCTTTTCTTTTATGAAATGGTTGGTAGGTTTGAACCATTGACATTTTGGCAGAGTGCTTAACTGTTACTTCATCCAGGCTTCTTGGTAGATGTAAACACATGTGAAAGCATGACTACAATCAGAATCACAAATATAGCCATCTCCCCAAAAGGGTGAGCCTTGTTTATCTCTTCCCCTTCACCCCCATACTCACAGGGAGCCAGGAGTCTGCTTTCTGTCTTTATGTATATTACATTAGCATTTTATTGCTGTCAGGTTGAAGTAATTTGTATATGACCCTCCAGTGAGTTTTCAAGAGGCTATAAATAACTCAAGAGGAGTTTGCCCATATTTCTCCTGAGGAGCCTATAGAAGATTCAAATCACCAGAGCACTAGTTTTGGATTAGCCTTTAAACTGAGTATAGGGAGCACTGGTGGCCTATTAGCAAGAAGCTTTGCTGCAGTCCTGAAGGCATGGATTCAAATTCACCAGCTGCTGCACAGGAGAAGGATGGGCAGTCTCCTCTTGTGCAATTTCATTGTCTCTGAAAGCCCTCGGTAGGGTCAGCTATGAGTCAGTTCTAACTCGATGTATGCAACAACCTTCTGTCTTATATAAGTATCTCTTGTGGTAAACTTGTTATAGAAGTCTATTAACTGAAAGTTTAGCTAAAAACACTTACACAGTAGCTCCACAAGAGAAAGACTTGGCAGTCTACCACCATAAAAAATACAAGCCAAGACAACCCTACAGGGTAATCCTACTCTGTCCTATTAGTCACTGTACTTGACATCGCCCAGTAACAGCGGAGTTTTATGTGAATGGAATGACAGAATGCTCACCATTTTATCTGATTTTTTCAACTACTTGCAATTATTTTATATACTTCCACATTTTTATAAGTACCAATAGTTTATTCCTGTAGTAGATACAGAAGAATGAAAATCCCAGAACACTTAATTGTCCTCTTGTGAAACCTTTACCTAGACCAAGAAGTTGTTGTCTGAACAGAACAAGGTAATACTGCTTGGTTTAAAATTAAGAAAGGTGTGTTTCAGAATTGTATCCTTCTCCGTATCTACTCAAACTGTGTACTGAGCAACTCATTTGAGTAGTTGCATTGATAAAAATATAAGGACCCATGCATTCAAGCAATGCAAAATGAGATCAGTCCATTCAGTCCTCTTCTCCAGCACCACAGCTCAAAGGCATCAATTCTTCTGTCATCCTTATTCATTAATAAGTTCTCAGATGCATAGCAAATGATTGGAAAGACCATGGCCTGAATCAAGGATGCTTCAGTCTTCAAACTGGTATTATTGTTCCTTAATAATTTGGAGAGATCCATGAGTGCAGATTTATCCCAGTGCCGTACATCTCCTAATCTCCTAACTGTTGCTACCAAAGGTGTTGACTGTGGATCCAAGTAAGAAGAAATAGCTTATAGTTTCAATCTTTTCTCCATCTATCAAGATGTTGCCTATTGGTCCAGTGGTAAGAATTTTTGTTTTCTTGAGATGCAATCCATACTGAAGGCTATATCCTTTAATTTTCTGCAATAAGTATTTCAAGACCTACAAGCAAGGTTATGTTACCTGCGTAACGACTTCTGTACCTAGACCAAGAGGCTGTTGTCCAAACAGAGCAAGGGAACACGTCAAGGTTTAAAAGAAAGAAAGGCATGTGCCAGAGTTGTATCCTCTTTTCATACCTATCCTTTGTATCCTGAGCAAATTATTAAAGAAGTTGGATTCTGTGAAGAATTTGGTTTTCTTCTTATGCATTAGGGCTGTATCCTTTCGCCATACCATTCAATCTTTATGCTGAGCAGTTAATTCCAAAACCTGAACTGTATAAAGAAAATAACGTCAGGATTAGTTGAAGATTCACCAACAACCTCCACCAAGTATAATCTCAGAGACCAAAGATTTACCTTCAATATGTATCACATTTCAACATAAAGACAACAAAAATTTGCACAAGTGGACCATTAAGCAACATCATGATAAAGGCAGAAAAGATTGATATTATCAATGATTTCTTTTTACTTGGCTCTACAGTTATACCCATAGAAGCAGCAATCAAGAAATCAAATGACATATTGCATTAGCTGAATGCTGCCAGTGGTCTTGTTAAAGTGCTAATGATCAGTGTTGTCATTTTAAAGTCTATAAAGTGTTCCTGGCCCAAGTCATATATATAATTTTCTGAGATAGACTATTTTTTCCATTTGCGTAAAATGTGTTCTCACTTGATCACTGAAGTTTTTGGAGTTTTGTTTTGTTTTGTTTTTTATGATAGATACATTAAAAATGGGCCAATGGGCAACATCTTGATAGTTGGAGAAAAGATTAAAATTGTCAATATTTTAATTTTGCTTGGATCCACCACCAGTGGCCATGGTAACAGTAGTCACCAAATTGAAACATGTTGCATTGGGAATATCTGCTGTCAAGGGCCTCTCCAAAGTGTTAAAGAGCAATGACATCAGTTTAAAAGCTAAGGTGCACCTGAACCAAGCATAGTCTTTTTCATTGCTTCTATGGATTTAGACATTGGCCAGTGAATAAGGATGATGGAGGAAGAATCTATGCCTTTCACTTGTGGTGTTAGAAAAGAGTACTAAATATTTCATGGATGGCAAGAGAACACAATCAACTCTCAGACAGAGTGCAACCAAGTTGTTTTTGGAGGTACAGATGGTGAAGCTTCATCTCACATACTTAGACCATGTTGTTAGGAGGAACCAGTGCTTGACAAAGGGCACCATGCTTGTTGAAAAGGTGAAGCCCCAGAGAAAGAGAGAAAGGTTTTCAATGAGGTAGATTGATACAGTAACTGTAACAGCACTCAAGTGTATCAGAGATGTTGAGGATGGCACAAAATAGGACAGGGCTCGGATCTGTTGTTTGTAAGGTCACTGTAAGTTGTAGTTGACTCACTGGCACATGCCACCACCACCAACTTTAAAAAGCTTTGTTACAAGGTACGGGAAGGTAATTGTAGCATCTTTGTGATCTCAGTATTAGCATATGTTGATTGTCTTCTAGTTCATGTTAACATTTTTACTGGATGTTGCTATGATAAGTGTTTTTCAAGTGAAACCTTGTTACTTTGAGTATTATATTAAAAGACTCTTGTCTTTATATCTTCTTCATTTCACATCTTCACATAATGCTTTCTCAGCAGAGGCATACGCCACCTTGTTACTGTCAATGGAAAATGAAAGTTCTAGTTTTTCCTACTCAGTACCATTGACCCTTATAGGGGTTGGCACATTGGAGGTTGGGACTTTTCATGACTTCTGAGCAGAGGAAGTCATTCTAGCTCTTTCCTGGGCCTCTGCTTACAAGTCCTGTGTTAGCAAGTCCTGGAGGAGTCCATTTTTTACTGTTCCCCATTTTTTACTGGCACCATATAGAACTGTCCTGTCCACGTGGAGAGGCGGTAGTGGTGGCGGCAGGTGTGTGTAGGTGTTGATTTCTTCATTGTAACTGGCACGTTTAGGGTCTCTATTCATTTTGTTGACAGGGTTAGAGATGGTATCACCGATTCTTGTTTGGCTGGAAGAGAACAGTTAATATCTAAAGGAGTTTATGTGGGTGGGACTTTTCTTATTTGTGCCCAGTGGTATTTCTGAGTGCTGGCTCCTCTTTCACTTACTCTAAGACATATGAGATAAAAAACAAATTCAGAGATTTCGTTTTCCTGTTGTTCTTCACATTCTAAGATTTCTAGCCAATCCTTCTCTTTACCTTTCGAGTCTTCTTTAGTTTTTATATAATGTCAAGGTTTTTAATAGTACTTCTACCAGCAGCAATTTAGAGCACCACTTCATCTTTCCACAATGGCATATTCCCCATTTGCTTTTAAAAAACAAAGAACTATTTCTTTCTTAAAGCTTCCGCTTATCATTCATATAAACTTTAATTCAGGCACAGCTTTGAATTCTAATAAAATCCTGCTCTTGTCAAGTAATTTTTGTAGCCTGGAAATGAAGTCATATATCATATAGATTTTATATCCTTGGAAAGCCAGGGAATTTGTTCTGAAATACATATTTATGACTCTAATCTATAACTTAGTCAGCTATGGGTCCTCAAATCTACTTTTAACCTCTTATCCTTCAGGAAAAGTCACTGAGGTTTTATTACCAGAGATTTAATGATGAAGTAAGACACAATTCCCAGGAATCTTGTCTAATGAAAGAGACAGATGACCAAATAGGAAATCACAATGCAGCATACTAAATTAAGGAAGGAACAAGAGAAGTACCTGAGAGGCCTCTTTCTGTTTTAATATTTAATTGCGAAGGAAAATATGCCTTCTTCCTTTAGGTCTGTTGGCCTTTGCTTGCTCTTCCTTGACCAAGAAAAAATGTAAGAGAAATTTTAGTGTTTATAGAGAGTATAATTTGGAAGATTTCTAGAATGTTGCTTTTATTTCTGCTCCTTTAGACACCATTTATTCTTCCTAAATTCCAAAAGTTCATGAACAGTAATTATTATTATTCTTATGTGCCATCAAGTCGCTTGCGACTCATAGTGAGCCTGTGTACAAGAACCCTAAATGCCGTTCTATCCTGTGCCAACCTAGCCATCTCAAACACACTCATTCCCACCTTCAGTTACAGAATTGATCCATCTCATCGAAGGTCTTCCTCTCCTTCGCCACACCTCCACTCTGCCAACCATGATGTCCCTCTCCAAGGACCAGTCCCTCCTTGCAGCATGCCCAAAGTATGTGAGATGAAGCTTCAGAATCCTTGACTCCAAGGAGCATTCCGGCTTCACCCTTCCTGGGGCAAACCTGTTTGTTCTCCTAGCAGTCCATGGTATATTCAACACTCTTCTCCAGCACCACAGCTCAAAGGCATTGATTCTCTTTCTATCAACCCTATTCACTGTCCAACTCTCTGATGCATAGCACGTAGTTGTGAAGATTATAGCCTGGATCAGGCACACCTTAGTCTCCAGCCTGACATCGTTGCTCTTCAGTACTCTTGAGGTCCCTCATAGCTGACTTTCCCAATGCAATTTGTCTCTTGATTTCTTGGCTGCTGTTACCAAGAGTGTTGACTGTGTAGCCAAGTAAACTAAAACTGTAAACTATCTAAATCTCTTCATCATCCATACTGATGCTGCCAATTGGCCCAGTGGTGAGTATCTTTGTTTGTTTTTATGTTGAGCTTCACTCCATATAGGAGGCTGCAGTCCTTGACCTTCTGCAGCAGGCACTTCAGGTCCTCCTCAGTTTCAGCAAGCAGGGTTGTATCATCTGCATAACGCAGATTGTTGATGACTCTTCCATCAATCCTGATGCCACATTCCTCCTCATACAGCCCAGTGTCTCGGATGGTCTGTTTTGCATACAGATTGAAAAGGTATGGAGACAGAATACATCCCTGACGAACCCCCTTCTTGATTTTGAACCATGTAGTTAGTGTCTCCTTGCTCTGTTCTGACAACTGCCTCTTAGTCCAAGTAAAGGTTTTGCATTAGCACAATCAGATGTTCTGGGATTCCCATTCTTCTCAGCGTCAGCCACAGCTTGTTGTGATCCACACATTCAAAAATTTGCACAGTCAATGAAGCACACATAGACATTCTTCTGGTATTCTTTGCTTTCTGCCAAGATCCATCTAACATTAGCTGTAAAATCTCTAGTACCACAACCTCTTCTAAATCCAGCCTGCACATCTGGCAGTTCTCTGTTGACATATTGTTCCAAACGTTTTTGGATCATTTTCAGCAGAATCTTGGTTGCATGTGATGTTAATGATATTGTTCGATAATTTCCACACTCTGAACAATAATAGTTGTTCAAATAATGGTGATTGTGTTGTTCAAATAAATTTGCAAGTCTGAAAAAAATGTGACATTTTCTCTGAGAGTTGCAGAACACTTAAATGTTTATAATGATGAATTTGAAAAAGCCACATTCTCCAGAATTACTAGTACTACTTAAGAAGCTTTTGGTTCTTTTCAAGTTATTAAGAATATTCGGGGATGAATAAACCAAGCAGAATGCAAAGTAAAATAATAAATATGTCCTCATATTAGAAACATTTGTGTTAGAATTAATATCTAATGGCAAAATAAGTCAAGATAAAGAAGGTTTATTTCATCTTGATTAGAATGCAGTTTCTATTGATAGGAATTTAAGCTTTAAAGTTCCCTGGGTATGGTCTCTTTAGTCTCTCAAATAGTGAGTCTTCTTTATTTACGTTTTGTAAGTTATTGTAATTTTTTTCTCTGTAGCATGTGAGGTGACATCCAGAATTATGTTTCACAGTGAAGAATTTTGTTATTCTTAGACCCTCACTTAACTTTTTTGTGCACTCAATAATTTTATAAATAATGTAGCACATTTTCTTTACTAAGTACTAAATATAAAAAATACATTATCATTTCCCTTGTAAATCATATGATGTTAGAAAGATTACTTGATAATTACTGTAAAATTGCAAATAAAGACATGTTCATTGAACTCTTTATTTACCTAAATAAAAGACCAAAGTTCATCATTTGGTTGCTGACCTCAGTTTGTATTGTTTATTCTTGTGCTTACTAGTCTGAAAAATGTTATAATCCGTAATGATCATCCATATTTCATGTGGATGTGAATAATTCAGCTGTAAATGACTAATTCATATGAATGTTGACTGGCCTTTATTTCTTTGATTTGTCATTCTAATAAAGGAGATGAGATAATGAGAATGCTGTTTAAAAATACTATTTCCATGAGTTACTCTTTCAGTTCATGTTAAGTGTTACAATTTAATTTATAGGAGGGACTCCGAACTTTATGTGTTGCCTATAAAAGACTCATTCCAGAAGAATATGAAGGTGTTTGTAAACTGCTGCAGGCTGCTAACGTGGCACTTCAAGATCGAGAGAAAAAACTAGCAGAAGCATATGAGCAAATAGAGAAGGACCTTATTCTGCTTGGTGCTACTGCTGTTGAGGATCGGTAAAGTAATACTTTCTTCCTTGTCTTCAGGAACAAAAGATGACGAAATACTGCAATCCATGGGATTATATGACGGAAACTTTAGAAGAGAATGTTGTCGACTGCAGCTAATGCTTGGCAACAAAACAAAATCCACTGCCTTAAAGTTAATTCAAACTCATGGCCACTCTCTCTAGGGTTTCTGAGGCTGAAAATCTTTACTGGAGTAAACAGCTTATTCTTCTATTAACTGTATTTGAGACACTGACATGCCAAAGATGCTTGACATTTTTGTTAGCATTACCTACTGTGTCATCAGGGTGTCATTCTACTATAAAAATTTTGGGAAAGTGTCAGGTACTTTATTACAAAATCATGAGCCAGCCATGTGGTCTTTTTTTTTTCTAAATTATTTTCTTTATTATTATTATTAATTTAATGAAAATTTAGAGACTTTGCGTTTCCATTCATTCATTGTTACAGTTTTCTCCCTGTCCCCCCACCCCAGAACACTCTTCTCTTTGAAAAGTAAAAGAAAAGTTCTGCCATTGTTTTAGAATCCCTCTCCCCAGGTCCACTCCACTATGCAGCCTTTGTTCTGGTCTCCTGTCATGACAATAATACCTAATCACATATCCGCTTTAAACCGTATTCTCCCTCATCTGTTTCAATGCAGTATACATTATTTATCACATCTTTCTCAGTCTCCCCCTGTGTCAGTCCTGTTTTACAACAGTGACACTATGCAGTATTTGTCCCTTTGTTACTGAGATATTTCACTCGGCATAGTGCCCTCCAGGGTCACCCACTTTGAATAATATTGCATGAGTTCCTTGTTTTTCAATGCAGTATAGTATTGCATTGTGTGACTATGCCACAGCTTCTCTATCCATTCGTTTGTTGATGGGCACTTAGGTTGTTTCCAACTCCTTGCTATTGTGAACAAAACCACGGTAATAAACATGGGTGCAGGTGCTTTTTAATATAGAGGGAAGGGAAGTTTTGTGACCTGTATTTATGCTTTCGCTTTCCTTTGAACTTCCTTTAGGCTCCAGGAAAAAGCTGCTGATACTATTGAAGCTCTACAGAAAGCTGGCATCAAAGTTTGGGTTTTAACCGGAGACAAAATGGAGACTGCAGCAGCCACCTGCTATGCGTGCAAACTTTTTAGGAGAAATACACAGCTGCTTGAGCTAACCACCAAGAAAATTGAAGAACAGAGTTTACATGATGTTCTGTTTGAGCTGAGCAAGACTGTTCTGCGTTATAGTGGCAGCCTAACAAGAGACAACTTCTCAGGGTAGGTGGCTTCTCCGCTCACTCGCCACAGGAAAAAGCTTTTCACATAAATTTAGATGCATTTGGCAGAAAGGAATCCATGAGATTAAGCTCTGTTTTAAAAATGGCTATTAGGATCCATTTACATTTCCCATGTTCTTATTTTTTAAAAAATTTCATTGTCTAATCATTTACTTTAGAGAATTGTCCTAAGTCCAGGGTAACAGGGACTTTTAAAAATTTTCTTAATATTAGTCTGTTCTCCATAGTTTGTATATCAAACTCTATGTGAAATGTAACTCTGTGTATGTAAGTTTATATATAAAAATATCTACATTCCCCTAGTTATGTTTTTTTTTTAATATTATGTTCAGCTGTACTAAGTCAAAATTTAGAGAATTTAAATTTACTACCTCTGTTTGCAAGGCCATAGAACCTCATTATCCCTACCGAGAATGTGTTTGAGAACCTGGGCATGACTATCACTACTTTGGTTGGAGTAAATAGTGAGAACAAAAAGACTGAGGGTTTTTTGTTTTGTTCCCCTCTACTTATTTTCTTTCTTTCTCCTCGTCCCCCAACTCCCAGGGCTAAGCAATAGAGATGAAAATACTAGGGAAAGGTACTCTCTATTTTCTTTATGTATCTGTCATACCTTATTATGTACCTTGCAACAAATTAATTTCTTTTCATTAATTATTATTTTTTTTTATTTTCTCCCTCTCCCTCAATTCTCACCTCTATTAATCCTTTCTGTGTGAACCATTTTTGGTTTCTTTATACTACAGTTTCTTGTACCATAATTGTCCTTTTGTGACTGACTTATGTTAATGAATTTAATTTGCTCCATTTTGTACAATAAGATGAGCTGTTTTTAATAAAGTAGAAAATGGCTTTTGCATTCTTTCTGTAGCTTTTTGTGTATGTGTGTGTTTGTTTTGGTTATTAGGTCCATCAAGTTGACTACACAGACCAAAACCTTATACTACCCTGAGCCATCCCCATAGACTCCACCACGCACAGGCCCATTGTTGTAGTAACTTTGTGAATCTATCTCCTTCAAAGTCATTTTCTCTTTTGCTGACATTTTACTTTTCCCAATCTTTTTCTTAGAACTGGTAATCCTGACATGTCCAAAGTATATGAGGTGAAGTTGCACCATCGTTGCTTGTAAGGAGCACCTTGGTTGCACTTTCTCCAAGAATGATTTGATTGATATTTTAGCAGTCTGTGGTATTTTCAGTTTGTGTATTTCAAATGAGATAATTCTCATCTACTTCCGAGCCAATTACAGAGTTCCACTGTACAGTCCTTAATTTGTAAAGTACCAGAAGAAGATAGAGTAATATTAATAATGTATAGATGGTTATCTGTAAAAACAGTGTGTTCCTAAGAGTTTTTCCTTGCCCGTAAGATATTCAGCATTGTATTCTAATACGTATTATCAATGTTGTCCTTGCTGATGCTAGATACATTATTTAAGATTAAGTTTTGTACTTTTATCATTGTAGGTAAAGCAGTAACAGCTCTCTGATCATATGCAAATTTTAAATTATTCATAAATAGTACAAAAACACTTTCCATCCTCTGATCTACAGAATGCCTTTAAGGAGAAGAACTGTTTGTAAACATTTTGAAACCTAGTAAAGAGAAATATTATGACTATGTTCTTAGCAATTGGGGTAATCTAAGCAGAATATCAAGGAGAGAGTAGCTAATGAAGGTAAAGACTGAATTAGCAAATGTAGGTAGGAAGTTCAAGAATATAGACTTCTTCAGAATACTAGATAATCTCTTTACATTGTTTCAAGATTACTGGAATTTATTATACAATAAATGCACAAGGAGTAGTGTGGTTTTACTAAGTCAAATAAGGATATTTAAATAAGACACAAGGGGGAAATGTAGTCAAAGATCTTATACATAGTACTAGAAAGATTACATTGATAAAACAAATGTTATTCCTTTTAATCTCTTAATCATGGATTTATAGAATTTGTAGCTATCCTGAGTAGTTTTTAAATCTTCTTAATTCTATAGATTTAACTGTTGTATAATCTAACAGACTTTCAACAGATATGCAAGACTATGGTTTAATTATTGATGGAGCCGCCTTGTCTTTAATAATGAAGCCCCGAGAAGATGGGAGTTCTGGCAACTATAGAGAACTCTTTCTTGAAATCTGCCGCAACTGTAGTGCAGTGCTCTGCTGTCGAATGGCACCTTTGCAGAAGGCCCAGGTCAGTGCTTTGTTCGATTTTAATTCGTACGGAAAATAAGTCATTAAGTCCTAGAAGTACTTCTTCAAAACCTGACAAAGTTTTCAGCCATTTTAAAAATAAAAGCACAACCTTTAAATGATAGAAATAACAAGATATCTCCCTTTTTTTATTGTGTTTATTGACAGGGATTCATAAATGTTGATCAAATCAAATTTATAAGCTTTCCAGGTCAAAGGCCCAAAGAGGTGCCTGACCTGCTCATCCAAAATAAATACATTTCCACAAAAATGCAAGTGAATCTGTACTAAACCACTGCTAACCATTTTGAAAAAGATTGCCAAGTTGTTGTTGTTGTTATGTGCCGTCGAGTCGCTTGCGACTCATAGCGACCCTATGTACAACAGCCCTAAACTCCGCTCTGTCCTGTGCCAATCGCATTGTCTCTGACACTCCCTTCCCGATTATCCCAGTCACCAAATCAATCCATCTCATAGAGATGGATAGAGTCTTCCCCTCCTGCGCTGTCCCTCCACCCTCCCAAGCATGATGTCCTTCTCCAAGGACCGGTCTCTCCTCACAACATATCCAAAGTATAGAGGGTCCTAAATGGACTGGGAGGAAAGTGTGGAACAAAACAAAAAATCATTAAAATGACTGAGTTTCCTGATAAGCTAGAGATTGGTGGCCTTCCCAAGACTATAGTCATCCTTTGAGACTGGAACTAAACTTACTCTTGTAGATCAGCTTTCTGCCAAACAAAAATTAGGCCAATAAATTAAATAATAACACTTTGTGGAAATAAACCTTAAGAGAGTAGAGTAGCCTAGGGATAGACCTCAGAAGTCAGAAAATGAGTGCACAGAAGGGTGAATGGAAACAAGAATCAACAACAATCACAGGGATTGCAAGAGCAGTGTTACAACTGTAGAGATTAAAATCAGTGTCATAAAAGGTGTATGAATGGTGGAATGGAGAACCAGTCTGCTCTTCACTTATTTATCACTATCAAAAATTTGGAAAAAAAAGAATATATGCTAAAGATGGATCAGAAGGAAACTAGTATTTATTGAAATCCTATTACATTTTAGTTACAGATTGGACCCTGGCAGATGCGTGATGTTATTTTGTTTTCCTAATTTTATAAATGAAGTATTAAAGGTATAGAATATTAGAATAATTTGCCTAAAATTTTTCAGTTAGAAAAGAGCAGAGTCAAATATTGATACCTACTTTCTCAGACTCCAAACCTGTGTTCTTCCTCTTCTGCTATAGTCTTGTAGGAAATCTGAAATGTTAATTTGTTGTTTTAAATATCTTTAGTAGTATTATAGATTTATATATATATATATAAATGTGAGTATGTTTCTGATGTCATTAAACGGAACTTTGTTAAACAGCATTTTAGAAACAGAACAGTTGATCTAATTGGATTTAATTGTTAAATCCATTCCATCTGAAACTAACTAACTTGTTCAGACAAAATACATCTTTCAGAAAACCTTTCATGTGTGACTTACAAGTGTGTGGGTTTTTTTCTTCTTTTAATTTTTTTTAAATTTTATACTGGTTTATTTAAAAAGTTTGTATACATTGTTTCTCACAATACGTTTTTCCCATTTCCTTCACCATCCTGCTTCCCTCCACCCATTACTCCCTGACCTTAGAATCTAGTACACAGCTATAGTAACCAAAACAGCATGTTTCAAAAGGAACTTAGACCAATGGAACAGACTTGAGGACTCAGAAATAGACCCAGCTATCCATGATCAATTAATACTTGACAAGGAAATAAAACCTATCAAATGGGAAAATGACAACCTCTTCAACCAAAAGTGCTGGCAAAACTGGATCTGCTACATGCAGAAAGATGAAACAGAATCCACATCTCACACCATACACAAAAATCAACTCAAGGTGGATCAGAGACCTGGAGGTAAAACCTAAATCCACAAAGTTCATCAGAGATAAACTGAGATCAAGTTTAGACAGCCTAAAACTGAATATAAACAGCCTGCCAAAACCAGCCAGAAATGTTCAATCTGGAGAGGATAAAGTTCATGACTGGGACTTTCTAAAGATTAATTGCCTGTGTACATCAAAAACATTTTCCAACAAAATGAGAAGAAAACATACCGACTTTGAAAAAAACATTTGGCAATTCCACTTCAGACAAGGGTCTTATATCAAAAGTTTATAGAATTTTACAGGGCCTCCACAAGAAAAAGACTGATAATACAACTAGAAAATGGGCATAAGACATGGAAAGACTTTTCACAGAGGAAGATATTCAAATGGCCCACAGACACAAGAAGAAATACTCAAAATCACTGGCAATAAGTGAGATGCAAATCAAAACCACAATGAGATATCATCTCACTCCAGTAGCAGTGGCAAAGTTTTAAGAGTTCAGCAAGAAAGAAATGTTGGAGAGGATGTGGCAAGATAGGAACTTTTATACACTGTTGGTGGGATTGTAAACTGGTACAACCACTCTGGAAGGCAGTTTGGCATTTCCTCATGGAAACAGCCCAGATGTCCAAACACAATAGAAGAAATTGAGAAATTATGGTACATTCATGGGATGGACTACTATGCAGTATGCAGGAGTAATGATTTTGTAAATTACTTCCTAACTTGGGAGGGGCTGGAGAGCATTATGTTAAGTGAACTGACTCAGTCCCATAAGGACAAATATTGTGTAAGACCATTATTGTAAAAGGAGTATGAGGATCCATGTGTGGTGCAGAGGGCTGAAGATGGGCATGGAGGGGGGCAAAAATCATAGGGTCTCACAATTTGTTGCATGGAGGAAGGCAGAAAGATCTGGTGTGAAAAAACAATGTATATGAACTGGTAAATAAACCAGTAGGCAATTTTTTAAAAAGTCTCACCTCTGGTGGTTAGAATCCACTAGCAGATCTGGAGGAAAGAGAACAGCACTCTCTTCCTATGTGTCTTACAGCCTTGAAAGCTCAACAGAGAGTCCTCTTGGAGTTGGTTCAGACTCCACAGAGGTGAGAGAAAGAGAAAGCGCAGTGTGCTCTGGAATTCCATCAGTCATTGTCAGATCAGCAAATCTACACCTTTATTATGATTTTTATTTTTTTAAAAATACAGTTTTCTTCCACTCTCTCTCTTAGATTCCAGATCAGATCTTTTTTTTCTTCTAAAAAACTCAACTTATTGCCACCTAGTTGGAATTGATTGACCCTCCAGCAGGTCTTCAAAGCCTTAAGTTGCATGAGTGGAGAAGACTATCTTTCTGTCTCAGAGCAGCTAGTGCATGTGAACCAAGGATCTTTGACTTGGCACTGCAAGTCTATCACTTGCCCACCAGAGCTCCCACTGATCAGATTAAAAGGTAGAACTAGTCAAGCACCTTCTTTTTCTGATCTCAGATGTTTGGAGAGGCAGTGGCTAATGTAAACTATTACTCCATTTAGACTAATTGTTTCCTTAAGTCTTTACATTTTTATTGTTTCCTTTTTTTTTTTTTACTTCTACATTTTTCTCTGTTTGCTCTAGTTACAACTTAAAATAGCGGTTCACTAGTTTTTAAGACCCCAGTTGAGACTCATCAAAATAGAATGTAGAAAATGTTCTTATGGACTATGCTCTATGCCCATTAACCCAAATATCTCTAATGTCTGTGGTCCTAACCCCTCAAACCCAGTGACTCACTCCAATAAAATGTTTCGTTGTAGTTAAGAAATTTGCATAACCTATATGCTATATTGTGTACCTGAATATATTTCTCCGTATATATAGAAATACCCCCTGCCAAACCTATACATGCTAATGGTTATGCAACTACTAAATGTCTCTATATTTGTATGTATGTTTCTTGTTTGCTGTTATAGTTAATATCTACCGCTTTGGACATGTTGCTAGGAGAGGCTATGCCTTGTAAAGGGACATTATACTTCGAACGCTAGAGAGAGTGTCAGCTAAAGAGAGGAAGATCCCACAACTAGATGGATTGACACGGGGACTGCAGCATTGAGCTAGATTATGCAGATGGAACCGGATAGGACAAGAGTTCAGGTCTCTTGCTCATGGGATTGTTATGTCATACTCGATGGCACTTAATAACATTTAGTATAGTAGAGTTTTTGATGTCCTGTTATTTCTGGTTGATACCCAGCTCTACTTCTTAGATTGTCTAAGTCTGGAAGCTCTGTTAAAAAACAGGTCACCCAGTACAACAAACTGACAGATGAGTGCTATACCCATAAGATCAGACAATAAAACAAGCAAACATAGAGATATCACATAAACTTGCATGCTGTGTGGCCTGGAACAGAGTATCTCTCTGCGCAGCAGAAGATTGGAAGTGGGATGTCCATTTAGGTCAGAATTTCCATTTGTTTTAGTGGTGACTAGAACCCTAAAATGTGAGCCATGTCACAGATGGCACCTTTTCTGGCTTAGCATGTGTTGAAGGATGGAAGACACAGCCTTTGACAGAGTTACTTCTGGTGTGTAAGTCAGCTAGTCCACCTTGGTAAGGACAGTGTCTGTACCATTGAGGGGATGAGTTCAGGCAAGGTACCCAGAGATGCCTGGCATAAAGAGAGCAGTCACTGCCAGTGCGGCATGTCCAAGTGTAGACTGATGTAGTCATGAAGTGTGTCAGATAAGGTGTCCAGTAAGAGGAAAGGCCCCAGTTGGAAAAGATGCCCTCACTAATCTGGAGGCTGATTGCAGACCAGGTGTGACACAGCCCACTGACTCAGGGAAGAATGGTCTGAGGGCTTCTGACTCCAGATAAAAGATAATTTCTACATTGTTAATACCTTTTTTAAAAAACCCAATAACAACAACAAAAATACAAAAAGCACTTATACACGTAGACCTCACCTGATGGTATGAACGAGAATCAGATTGACTATATCTCTGCAAAGAACAGATGGAGAAACTCAGTGTCAGCAATCAAAACAAGGCTGGGTGTAACTATGAAACAGACCATCAATTACCCATATGCAAGTTCAAATTGAAGCTGAAGAAAATTAAAACAGGTCCAGAAGGACCAAAATATACCTTGAGTCTATCTCAACAGAATTCAGAAACCATCTCAAAAATAGATTTGTTGCATTGAACACTAATGATCAAATACCACGTGAGTTATGGAATGGCATCAAGGATACCATCCACAAAGAAAGCAAAAGGCCATTATGACGCTTGGGTCAATGAAAAGACCACAATGAGTATCAGAAGGCACAATGAAATTGCACCAGAAGGTAGAGAAGCCAAAACAAGAGAAACGCCAAAGAAAGCTGAACAGAAAATTTCAAAGGCAGCTGCAGAAGACAAAGTACAGGAGTTAACCAACGTGTAATCCCTGTTTTCTAACAGTTTCTGCTGTGAAGCCATTTTTTGCCTTCTTTCAAGTTTTCTCCTTGTCTTTTACTTTCAGCATCTTTATTATGATTGTGGATCTCTTTGTCTTTATCATTATTGGAGTTTATTACGTTTCCTGGATATGTGTGCTAATGTTTTTCGGTACATTTGAGTATTTAACCATTGTTTTAAGTATATCTCTTCTTTCTTTCCTTCTGATATTCCTGTTGTGTGTATGTGTGTGTATTCAATGCCATTTTAAGCTACTCTGAGTCTGTTTATTTGCCCACTATTTTTTTTTACATATGTATGTTGCATAATACCTCTTCACTGACTCATGTGCAAGTTCACATTAACTAACTCTTGTCAGTTCAGCTATACTGCTGAGCCCCTGTTTGTGGATATTTTCATTTTGTTTTTTCTATTTTTTTCACCTCTAGAATTTTAACTAGATTCTCTTCTGTAATATCTAGCTCTTTAATGCTATTTTCCAGGAGCCAGCAAAAGGTCAACAGTTTGATCTTACCCAGCATTTCATCAGGAGAAAGGCCTGGGGCTCTATTCTTTAAAGACTAAAAAAAACACTAAAGACTAGAAGTAGCCCTATGGAGCACTTCTATTTGATCATAGATATTGCTGTGAATAGGAATAAGTTTGGTAATTCTTAATAACAAAAAGATTCTTTTATATGGTTATATGTGATTTGATGTTATTATAATCTTCAATTCTTAAATTAACTTTGCTTTAATTCTATGACTCTATTTATATAATCATTACCATAATCAATGCCAAACTTCTTTCCAGAGTGATTGTACCATTTTACTATCTCACTAAACAATGTATGAGAGTTCCTGTCTTTCCACATCCTCTCCAACATTTATTGTTTTTTATTGTCCTGTTAAACTTTGCTGCTGCTACAGGGATGAGATTGTGGTTTTGATTTGCATCTCTTATTGCCAAACTTTTTTTATTACTTTGCAGAACTACTAAATAGTCAAATAGTAAACCTTTAAAAATGGAGATAAATTGTACACTTAATTCTTTTTCAGATTGTTAAATTAATTAAATTTTCAAAAGAGCACCCTATTACTTTAGCAATTGGTGATGGCGCAAATGATGTCAGCATGATCCTGGAAGCACATGTGGGCATAGGTAAGCCATTTTTCTCATTATTCTTGCTTTCCTACACATCTTGATAACAAGTCACTTTTGTCCAGACAAGAAAGGGAAACAGCCAAAGAAAATGTCATAGAATTCACATAGAATACAGTCTGTAATTTTGTGCATTCAGGACTGGAAAATCCCATAAGAATATATTAACCCTTAAGGTATTATTAATGTTAAAAAACCCGATTTTACATGTATAGTAATAAGAAAGGATTTATTCAATAAGTGTATCCCCATCTTCTAGGTGTCATTGGGAAAGAAGGACGTCAGGCTGCGAGAAACAGTGACTATGCAATACCGAAATTTAAACACTTAAAGAAGATGCTGCTTGTTCATGGACATTTTTATTATATTAGAATATCTGAACTTGTGCAATACTTCTTTTATAAGGTAGGATGTGTTCTTTGCTTTGATCACTAGTTTTATGGCATACAACAGGCATGTTAAACCCACTACTAACAAGATGATTCTAACTCATGCCAACACTCCATAAGGCATGGAAGAGTGGAACTAAACCATTGTTAGGTTGCCTTGATGCTATAAGGAGTAACTTAATAACTATGCGTAGAAGTAACTGCCAGAAAGGAAGGGGGTAATCTATTACTACAAAAGGAAGCCCCTAGCACTTTTTTTCACATTAATGTGGAGCCAGTAAAACATAATCAGTGGAAAAATACTTGAGAAAGGAGCATTTTTCCCAATTCCTTTAAATTTCAGATTATTTCTTGTCCTCAAACCAATTTTGCAATTTTTTTCTTACTTACACTGACATTATGTTCTAGTTCTTTTTAACTTAACAAATTTTCTCTTTACAGTGTTCCCAGAGTGCCATAATATATTTTTGTATCTACTTTAAGTGCACTGAAAAAAAGAAAAATAAGTTTAAAGTACATTGTCTGCTATTATGTAGTTCATAGTAATTTTCTGGATCACTTTCCTTAAATAAATAACATTAAACTGAATCCTATGCAAGTAATGTATACCCTCTATAATCTGTCTTTGAATTAACATCCTTGTGACTTGTCTTTCAGAATGTCTGCTTCATTTTCCCTCAGTTTTTATACCAATTCTTCTGTGGATTTTCACAACAGGTCAGTTCTAATATTAGAGGCTTGCTGCGCCCTTACTTTCCTTCTGTCAGGCAGTAGTGAAAGAGTAGACTGTAGGCAGTATCTGCAGACAAGGCAGAATGCCTCTTCCTGCCTTTCTCGAGCTACATGTATTTTACCCAATTAGCAGAGTGGGGGTAACGAAACATGCTATAGGGCCAGATGTGGAGGGCCCTACACAGTTTCCCAGAGTCAGTAGACTCCCGATTTTCTAATGCTGAGAAATTTCCTAGACGCCATCCAGTCATGGATGTGGCTGAGTGAAACTTAACTGTCCCTTCAGAGCCCAGGATAAGACCAAGTTCAGCTTTCTGAACTGGATGGACAAAATGCAGTTCATTGTTGTTGTTAGGTGCATAACTCAGTTCTGACTTGTAGTGATCCTGTGTGTACAAAAGAAAGAAATGCTCCCCAGTCCTGCACCAAGTTCAGAGTCATTACAAAGAATAATTAAATAGTATGATTTCTTCAAATCATTGCTGTATGTGATTACTCTGTTATAGCCACTGTGTAAGTCCCATCTCACTGAGAGTCAGTTTAATCCAAACCAAACCCACAGCCATCTAGTCAGTTCTGACTAACCAAAAGATTAGTGGTTCAAATCCACTAGTCACCCTGCAAGAGGAATTTGGGGCAGTAAGCTTCAGTAAGATTTACAACCTAGGAAACAGTACAGGGCAATTTTAGTTTGTTGTTCATGGTCACTAATGGCAGTGAATTTTGGTTTGAATTATCACTGGACTCTGTTCTATTAAAGTCTGTTAAGTGGAGGTAATGTTAAACTATAGAAAATAATGGAGAAGCTGCTTTGGCATTTGCTACAAAAGCATGTCTTTCTGTTGTTCACTTACTTAGGCCGTTCTGCACAGATGTACAATGGGTAAACTACTGTTTTCTGAAAAGGACCTAGAATGGAGGGAAATGCGGTTTGCAAACAGTGATCAGAACTGCATGTCTCAGTGTTTTGTGCTGGAGTGGGTTGGCTCTCAGGGTTGGGACTTCTCTCAGTTGTCATTTTAATCCTGATTCTTTTTTGATGGCCTGGTGGGTAAGAGTTAAGCTGCCAATCCAAAGACAGGCAGTTCAAGTCCAGCAGCTGTTTTGTAATAAAGATGGAAAATCTTTTTAAAATGTACAGCCACTGAGAAGCTGCAGGAAGGCCAGCTGTGATGAGCCAGTGCCGACTAAACAGCACATGACAGCAGTTTATGTAAAGGAGCTCAGTGACACAGTCACTGCTAACCCATCGGGAACAGATTCGAATCCACCAGTGGCTGCTCAGGAGAAAGCGAGGCAGTCTCCTTTTTTTTTTTTTTCCCCGTTGATGCAAGGACCGGGAAAGCCATTTTTATTTTATTTTTTTCCCCAAACTCACTGTAAACCACAGTAACTTTGGTTAAAATAAAAAAGTCTTCTATGTAGGCAGAGCTTTGTCTTTTAAAATAGGGTGGGGACCTGAGGGGAGTAAGGTGAGGACA